GATTCTCAAGAATTGCCAGGCGTCAACCGAACTATCGGTCATGATTTTCAGAAATCCATGCCGCATCATGATCTTGCAGGAAGCAGCAGGTCTGACGCTTGGACCCTATATGGACGAGGCCAAGCATGGAAAAACCGCTCTAACGGTTCTGTCCAGAGGCGACGATACAACTTATTTCGAGATCAACGAGCGCTATCAATCTGTGTTCAAAAAGCAGACCGCGCCACCTGAAGAGAAGCCAAGGTGGCTGATCCATTCGGTGTTTGTCCGAATCTATTTCGGAATTTCGGAAAACTTGATGCTCAGCAGGTGGCTGACAGCAGCTATCGTCCGATTACCGATGCCACTTTAGAGCCAGCGATCGACGCCGACGTCAATCTTCCTCCGGAAAGCAACGTCAAAGGCTTCCATCCAGGTTGCCATTTGGTCCACAGCCATGCATTCACTGCGCATCGCACCAGGCTGGGACGGCTGGACCTAGAACGTGAGCCGATCATTGAGCTCGTTGAATCTATGTTTGAGAACTACAACGCAGAGAATCGTCCCCCTCCGGTACACCATCAGCCTGACCGATGTGATCTAACGCGTTTGGATAGTAATGATCGAGATCAGCGTCTGCAATTTTCACATCAATAGTACGATGCTGCGTAAGGCTTACGAGATCGTAACCTCGTTCGATCGTATTATACCTCGCTCGTCTATGCCGCTCTATCGGCTGAGGTCGACATTGTTGCTGGCGATGGCAACCTGGCCGCTCAACGGAACTTCGCCGGCCAGAATGACGCGGACTTTTATGACCAGTCTGTGTACTGAGGTTGTTGAAGCGGTTCTAACGGCAGTCAGTAAGCTCCGCGAGGTAGATCATCGCATCAGCTATAGCGTCGGGCGACCCTGCGCACGATGGAGACTGTATTGTTTTGCACATGTTTCGCTATCCTCGCAAGCGTCCCGGTCTACTGGGCTACAGAACAGTTGGGCAACCCGGGCTGCAGAAAATACAACTAGAGGTTCCCTTTGATTCCATGGTTTGCACACACTTATAGAAATGCGTACTGACTGGAAAGCGGTTGCCGCACGCCAACCTGGGTTCCCAAATCCTGAACAGTTCAAGTAAAAACCCCAAAGGATCCTGGAGGTCCCTAAACGGAAGTGAGGCCCAAGATGACGACGTATCGTGCGCAACCGCGAAGCTCACTAGCCCTTTACAAGATGTCGATTAAACTATTTGGCAGGTACATGACTTTGGCGTCCCAAAGTCATATCACAACGCAATGGAAAGGTCTTCGTTGGGCAATGCTTTTCAAAGTGTTCATTGCCCCCCTGCAATGACAAGTGCAAAATGAGTTGAAACAACCTGACAGGATTTTTGTGACCTGAAGGGTTACACACACACGTCTCCCCGAAGGGAGGCAAGGTCTTTCCCGACTAGGCTCCGGACGAATCAAGAGGGGATGAGACAATGGATCTTGTTGACGTGCCTGTTCCCTCCTCTGGACCGCGCTCTATGTCCCTGACGAACTCCTCGGGATCACCCCTCACTTTGATACACCCCTCACTTTGATACATCCTTAGCCCCAGTCTACCAGCTCAAAGATTGACTGTGATTTCATCCTCTTCGTCATTCTACAGCGCTGCGGATACAAGATAAAACAGCCCTGTTTAAAGCTTCAAGTTCCTACATACCCTTCGTCCGTTACAAACACCAGTTTTTCTCTCGCAGCAACCTTTGGTTCAAGCATCGTTGCCCCGTTCTCTTTCTCCTGCATGATGATTTCCCTCTCCAGGACTTCGCCTACCACCTTTGTCCCAGATGATCCCTACTGATGGAATGACGTTTGATGATTTCCCTCTCCAGGACTTCGCCTATCACCTGTGTCCCAGATGATCCCTACTGACTGGCATGACGTTTGACGACCTTTTGACTCCCTTGCTCATGTTCCCAATCTCTTGACTGTCCGTTTCGAACTCGACATCAGCCTCCTGGTCCATCAGCCACTGAACTACATTACTGTCACCTTGACGGCAGCTCAGGTTGATCAGGACAAGGACTACACGGTTGATGACCTCAAGGATGCGATCTTCTCCCGCATCGGTCACTCTCGCACCTCGTTTTGGATGGCCCGACCTGTGGGAAGCACCTTATACCTACTCCCTTGAAGATTTGGTACTCTACTACATCAACTCGAGACGAGTTCGACCCATGGCTACATTGATGAGTACTCACGGCGTGACACTCCCTTACCTCTGACAGCCTATCCCTGCCTCCATGGAGCTGACAATGCCGGGGCCACAGTGGTGGTGGTGGCGGCGTCGTCCGAATCAATGAGCCAATCACATGTTGTTGATCTTGAGGTGCCAAGCCGCGAAAAGCGGGGTTCTCGGCAATGTCACAGTCCGAAAGCCGCTGAACCAGGGATTCAACAAGGCGATCCAGATGCGGACTTTCAAGGGCTTCAACGGCCTGAAATCAGGATGTTGATCAACATAATGGTTAGGAGTCTGCTTGTAGTAGCCCAACAAGGAATGGGCGTGAGGGATGGTGCAGGCATGGGACTAACTGCGAAAGAACCAATGACGTTGTTCACCCAGGGAACGGCAAGTCCATTCCTCCCAGGGGTGTGGTGCGCGGCTCACGCCGCAATAGTTCCGGTAGTTGTACCAATTGCCCCAGTCTTCGTTGTAGCGGTTGGGCGCCCGAGGAAGAAGGGTGAGAGTAGCGGAATCACGTGGAAGAGGAGGAGCCTCGTTGGAGTCAGACTGGGCCATGTCAAAAGGGCCAGGTGGTAGATCAGTATGAGGCATATTTCCATCACGGTAGAGGGTGTTCCTCATAGGCGCGTCATATTCAGTGTGTGCTCGTCGTCTGATAGGTATCAAAGATCAGGGCGGGAAAGACAGAGTGTAGTCAAACAGCTGCAGTGTGTGTGTGACGGTGAAACGTTGGGAGAGTACAGGCAAAATGAAAGAAACCATGTGATCAAGCTGCCGAGTACTTGCAAAAGATGTAGTGCCCGCAAGTTTTCTGCGCCGGGTGGAGGGTTCAGGTGAAACCGAGTGGTGAAACAAAGTCTATTTGGAAATTGCCTCAGGCAAGCGGAGAGGTAAGTCGGTTCGTGGAATCCGAAAGCGTACGAGTTCTCCATCTGGTTGAAGGCTCAAAAAGCCGTAGAGAGTAGAATCCGAGCGTGTAGTCGGAGTAGGGGGGAAGGGAAGAAGTGCTTCGTTGTTCTGAGATCATCTGGGCCCAAATCTTGTGCAATGTCGCCGGAGGAGGTGTCGGGCAAGCCTTCTTGGGGAAGGAAGTGGAAATGATCACCGGTTCAGTCACGTAGACGTGGTGCGATGGATGGGCAAGGACGCCGTGCTCGATCAGGTTGAGAAAGTCGGCAGCGTCAGGAGAGAGGTGGTAGAAAGCGAGGCCGAGACGGAAGTAGAATTGAGCCGAAGGCTGAAGCAGAATGCAAAGAATGTAAAGTCAATGTACAGGTGAAGAGATGTGAAGAAATCTGAAGAAACCTCGCGCAAGGCATAACAAGTAGCTTAAGAAGATTGAAGAGTGAGAGAAAGGGAGTGTCGGCATGTTTCGAACGTGACAGGAGCTGGTGATACGTCAAAGTGAGAAAAATCATTTCAGTAGAAAACCTTCAAGATGAATGTGTGTCGGACGCTGGGACGAATAGTCGTTGTAGTTCAAGAAGGTCGGACCAACGTGCTTGGATCTGAGAGATTGGTCGGTGCATCTTCTGGGCAATGTATTTCCAGCTAGGTCGTAGTCTTTCATTGCGTTTGAGGCTGAGAAGTAGTTCATCGTCACGACAACTCCAATCGTCGTCCCACGTAGTCTCTGGCCGGTTTTGATGGAGCAGCCATTTTGGCAAGCCATATAAGCAGCCCAGCGGGCCAGAGGAGCCAGCCATTTGGCAAGGCCAGAGCAGACCGCAGTGGTCGCAGCTTCTCAAGTCGCATTGGGGCCTGTCCACTTTAGGTGCGCGCAGCATATACATAAACCACAGGCCACTTCCACACAGGTTCGTTCCAATGACGTTTGGCTTCGTTGTTTTCCGGCCCCTTCATTTGGTTCCCCCCTTCACCATGTTTTCATATCACACACTTTCTTTTACCTCTTTCTTTTCATGTCTTTCTTGCCTTCGTGTCTCTTCGTCTCATCCTTTTTCTCTTTTGCGCACACACTGGTCCGGCCCTTGGCGTACTCGTGCGCAATTACACCCAATGAGGTTTTAGGTCGCCCAGGTTGTTACAAGGAGGTCTGGTTCATCGTTTGTCCCTGGTCACTTGGTTCTTCATCGCAGCCGCGTACACTTGGTCTGTCCTGTCCTCTTTTCACGCCCTCATCTTTTCGTCTAAATTGCGTGCGCGTCGCTCACTCGTCTTCACGAACTTGGAGCTTTTCTTTGATGACTTGGAGCTTTCGTTTGCTGACTTGGAGTTTTCAGAGATAGTCCGACCGCCTCACATACTACCTGTTTTACCCAGGCAATTTTTCACTTAGATTTCTTCAGGGCTTGGGGCGATCAATTCAACGCATTTCTCGAGTCTGTCAACCCTTATTTCAACGAGCTCCCGTCTATTTTTCGGATTCTTTACTTGACTTTGGGCGTGCCACTTGTACAGACTGTACAGACAAGCATGGGGATGCCCGTCGCCTGAAGAGAGGGCGTCTAGCAAAGAGGCTGTCTAGGCTGTGCTGATATCGGTGAGGACGCTTGTTGACGGACTTTTCATCTCATGTGACTTTTGCATCTTTCATCGCAAGTTTCCCCTTGCCTTGTAGTCTTGACAACATCTCTCGAGACTGTGTTTTGTTTGCGCGGGCACTGGCCAGTGACGACGCTGCCGCGACAGCCTCTGTCACGTGTTCATCGTATACGTAGACTGATTGCATGTAGTCAGTCAGGTTGTCACGGGGGGTATACACAAAATTGGTCCAATTACGGTCTATTTGTTGGTGCGCGCTGTCGTGACAGTGACACCCTTTGCAGGCGGAACATCGCGACTCCATCTGCCACATTTTCTCTGGCTGCGACAACCCAGCCTGTCATAGTTGGACATTCTTGGAAGCTGCTGCCGCCAGCGTATCTATTGGTGTGGCGTGGTTCTCTCAGGTTGCAACTATGGTGGGCGTGGCCCTTGGACATGAAAGCGCTGGTGAGATGGTTTGGACACTTTTGGGCTGAGGATTTTGGTGGGTGCTTGGATGTGTTTTTCCAGGCGGTGGAGTGTTGTCGCTTCCATTTGCCATGAGCCAGTCAGAGTCTCAGTGTTGTTGTGGGCTGGAAGTGTGTGAAGCAACGAGGATTTGTAAAGACAAACCCAAGAAAGCGGTATCATACACTGTGTAAGTCTGCATGTCGATCCACTGCATTTCTTGTGACCGCGGATTGTGCGCGCGCGCATTTTCGAATTCTAGAGTGTACATAGACGCATATGTATGTGTTTGTGTAGGAACACACACACACATATATATATATGTGTGTGTGAACCGGATACAGGCTTCGACCGGAAAGAACCCTCCGACCCGAATAAGCGTGATTGGATCATGATGATTGTCGTCGGATGAACATTGGCCCAAGGGCCAGGATGTCGGACAAAGAAGGAAAAGCTCCTCCAAAGATTGCCAATCCGCCATGGAATTCCTAGGCGCATTGATAGTGGAGCTCTTTGGCCCGGTGTAAGAACACTGTAGAGCCATGCGGTCGGAGGCTGCAAGTGACGACAGGTCATAGACAATTTGGACATCGCTGCCTAGTTTTGAGCAAGGTCGAGCTGATTAGGGTATGTCGTGAAAACCAAGTGTGTGTAACCCTTGGCATCAGAGTGGCGCCTTTCATAGGTTCGTTGCAGGGGGGGCAACGGCCAGTCTTCCCACTTGAGTTTTGTATGCAGCTTGTGCGTTGAGTTTTGTACGCAACAAACTTTCTGGCGATGGCCCCCAATCTGTTGCAATGGCCTCCCATCTTGCCATGCAACGGCCTCCAACCTAAGTGCGATGGCCTCCAACCTACACTTCCGGTTTATTCAGGCTGTGATGCAAGTTCAAGCCGCTGTTTTTGTATGCAACCAACCTGCTAGCGATGGTTTTGAACCTGTTGCGATGACCTCCCACCTAGATGCGATGGCGTCCAACCTAAGAGCGATGGCCTCCAACCTGCTTTTCCCCATTGTATTCAAGAATTTTTTTCACCTAAGCAGCCGCGTGGCATGAGGCATTCAATTCAGTACGCAAGACTTCAAGTGTGTCTGGCTTCACGCCAGCCCAGGGTGTACCCGGCGAGTGTGTGTGTGGGCTTTGCGCGTGGCGAAAACAAATGGTGGGGCATAGCTTACAACAGGTTCTTCAATGAGGTTTGGCTATTCAACGGTTTGTCCCCGTTCTTCTGGTTTCCTTTTCATTGGGCCCACATACCGCTTCCCTCTTTTCTTTCACGTCCGTTCTTTCTTCACGTCCTGTCATCCTCACCCTTTTCTTTGTTCGCGCGCGCTCCTGTCCGGGCCCTAGTTTGTCCGGGTACTTCCTTGGACAAACTAGGCTCAGGCGCCCCAGGCGCCCCAGGTTTTGTCCCTCTTCGCCTGGTTCTCCCTTCGTTGGCAACCACGCGGCTTTTTGTCTGTCTTGTCCTTTCATGCCTTCTCTTCTTGTCTCTTTCGCGCACGTGCGTGTGCACATTGCCTGTCGGCGCCTCAAAAGTAAATTACTCCGCCTCCCTTCAACCCTGAGTCTGCTCTTTCATTAAAATTTAGTTTTTGTGTTGATTTACTGTGACGGATACATTTACATTGTTTTTAACGTAAAAACAAAACTAAGCTAAAATTGTGGAAAGCAAAAAACACGTATTCTTCAACAAAAAACATCTAGTTTTGCATGGTCTATTTCTTAACTATTCTCAAAGCAAGGCTACTTAGATGTTTTTCTCATCAGTTAATGACATGAAACAGGCATCCGTACCACCTCTTGAACTTGTAACAATCAAATTCCATAGCGCAAGTAAAAGGTATTTTGCGCTTGAATTTCCAGAGCACAAGTAAAGGCGCAAGTGGAATTTCACTATAAGCAAAATGTGTCTTGCGCATGATTTTCCTCAGCGCCAGTAAAGGCGCGCGCGCAATTTGACAAGAAAAGAAAAGAACACTCTGTTTTTCAACGTTTGCCTTGCAGCCACAGCAATTGTTGCTCTTTCCAAGCAGCCTTTTTGGCAGCTTGCCAGTGCTTTGAACCACGCAAGCAAGACTTCCATAAACTTGTACCCTGTGCATAGTTTTTGGAGTGCATCACCTCTACTTGTGTAGCGCCTTCTGTATTTCCTGTCATGGGAAAATGATTCCGGACCAGGTACGGTTATTTTTTCAATTCGTATGCGTTGATTAAAAGCAACAATCACTTTACTTGAGACACCGTGTAATGTATTGTGGGCGCCAGCATTGAAAGAACTCTGGGCTGAGTACGGCCTTCCTGAAAGGGCCTTTCTTCCAAATCGTATTTGTTGACTGAAAGACACACACACACATAGGTCTCTGCGTGCCACTTCCTCAAGGCAGTGCAATTGTTTAGTGAATGGCGGTGTCCACAGGCAAGCTCTGTTTCTTTTTCTCATGTAGACCATTGTGGGCGCCGGTTCCTGGAGGCAGTGTAACTGTTTAGTGGATGGCAGTTTCGACAAGTAAGCTGTGTTTTGCTTTCTCGCGCCAGCAAATTTCGTCTTCGAGTCCTGTCAAATTTCGCAAGTCAAGGCGGTTCAGTTCAAAAAAGAATCATAACTTTTAAGATGGTTGAACTTAAAACAAAAACCATAATCAATCCCAATTCCTGCTTCAGTGCAATCCTCGTGTCTTGGTTCTATGTCGCAGGGTGCATGGTGCTTCCAGAGCTTCCATATGGCTCCACTTTATTAACGGCCAATCTCAGTTTGACAAGTAGGCCAAAATTAAGAATGTATGCGACAGGTTTAAGTTTTAAGATAACCACAAAGACACACAAACAAACACACACACATTATGTGTGTTGACGCACATGTCATGCTGCCACCAGGTTCAATATAAAAAGGGATGCCAACCGCGCCGAGCCAACCACTATCCAAACATCAAGCTTGTGAATCTGACGAACACCCACAGATTTATGTCTAGTCAAGATTCTGTCAATCGCCCTTGCTTTCCACACAAAGGAATCATAACTGCGGACAGTGCCCACCCAAAAGTTATGATTCTTAAACATGCTATAGTTTCCCCAAAAAAGAATCATAACTGGTGACACAGCCCACCTAAAAGTTTAGATTCGAAAACAGTGTTATAGTTCCAAAAAAAGAACCACAACTGGCAGCACTGGCTACCAAAAAGTTATGATTCCCAAAAAAGTTATAGTTCCCAAAAAAAGAATCATAACTGGCTGCACTGGCTACCAAAAAGTTAGGATTCCAAAATATTCCAAACAAAAAAGTTATGATTCCAAAAAAGTTCTAGTTCCAAAAAAAGAACCATAACTTATGATTCTTTTTTTCCAAACAGATGCATAGCCTAAATCTAACAAAAAGCCTTCAAAATCAATTGTGTTTGCTAGTTTTGAGCTATGTGTTTTAGTGAAACTAAAACACATAGCTCAAAACTAGCAAACACAATTGATTTTGAAAGGTTTTTGAATCCTTTTGATTTTAATCATTGGACCTTGTCGCGCACGAATGAAGTGAAGTGATGAACGGCATGGATTTTCTCCTCAAGCGGTGTGGTGGGTGGGTGTCCTTGGTGGATGTCACGCGGGCTCTCTCAGTTTGCTATACGCTTGGCTAGTTACACAGAACCC